TCTCCCCCCCCCGGTGCCCCTCTCACCTTTCCACAGCCCCCCGGGGGGGGGGGGGGGGCGGCCTGGGACTGGGTGCTGCCTGAGGAGAAGAGCTGTGGGAGCAGCATGATCAAAGCACCATTCGGCTCCCCTGACTCCTTGCTTCAAACTGGCCCTGCAGTTGGGAGGACAGAAAAGCCATGACCCAGGCCCTAGGCTCAAGACTGCCTGCAGTGCTGAAGCTGTAGCTCCCTCACAGAGGGGCCCCCTAGACCAGCAGTAGGCAAAATACAGCCTGTAGGCTGTATCTGGCCTGCCAAGTGATCCTATCCAGCTGGCTGGCTGCCACTGGGAGCCTAAGGGGGATGGCCTGTGCCCCATGCCATTCCCTTCTGCCTCAGACGGCTGGGCAGCACACACTCCTCTATCCCCCCCATATCCAACCCCCCTTACCCCACCCCACTTCCCACTGGTGCCACAGCTGAACAGTCCTGGCACCATGGGCACTGACAGCTGAACCCACATGGGACAGGGCACAATAAAGTGCACCAAGTAACCATCCCACTTGCCCACCCACCACAATGAGCCACTGCTGCCACAGTGCCACTAGGAAATGAGTCTGTGCTAGCTGCAGAGGCTTTCCTGATGCAACGTGGCTGCAGTGGCTCATCGCAGTGGGTAGGCAGGTAGAATGGCTACTTGGCACACTGCATCGTACCCCATCCCATGCAGGCCTGGCTGGTGGCAGCTGCAGTGGCAGGACTGCACGGCACTGACAGGAAGCTGGGCAGAGGGGGAGGATGGATGCAGGGAGGCAGAGGAGTCTGTGTGCTGTGCAGCCCTGCCCTGGCAGTGGCAGAATAGCACAGGGCACAGCTCCCCCACATCAGGCTCTCAGCAGTTGCCCAGATAGGATCAATTATCATGTCCCTGTACTCCTCCTTGTCCCTCAACAGCTCACCAAAACTCATTAAATGGCCCTCCAACCTCTGCCCTAGACCTTCAGATAAAAGAATGATAGGATGTGATGATCCAGCCATACAATCAGACCTCTTTCCAGGCACACGCATGGAGTATGATTGTGGGATCCAGCCTCAGATCCCACCATGTCTTATTGCTGGTGCAGGGGGAGCTCAGGATCATGATCCCAGGCTCCCCTTACAGCAGCTCCTGCTGCTGCAAAGCCTGCAGTGCCAAGGCTCACACAAAACATGGCTGTCAGGGAATGCTGCCCGCTCTGTGAGCCCTGCAGCTGATGGAGGATGCTGCCCCTACAGCCAGCCCTGTGGCTGATGGGAAATGCTGCCCCTGATGTGAGCCCTACAGTTGGCAGGGAACACTGCCCCCTCTTCAGTTCCAGGGCTCACAGTGGAGCAGCCTGCAGCTGGGAGCCCTGTCAAGGGAGCATTTGACCACCAATTCAATCAGTGGCATGATAAGAACAAGCTACAAAGTTATTGTGCATATTTTGTGGAATAACTTTGCAGCTTATTGCTTGTTTTATCACACCATTTGTTGATTGAACCATGTGGCCGAGTCACAACTTCAGTTGTCATTAACTGAAGCTTTTGAGGGCCAGTACTAACAGCCTCACTCGCATGACTAGTACCTCTGAGGTGGATGGGAGTAATTGCATGGGGCCAGATTACTAGAAGTATTTAGTCTACTAACAGGATCTTAAAAGATGCCTGGACTCTTCATTTCAGTGAGCATTAGATGCATATCACATTGATCTGCACCTTTAGCAGCCTACATACTGTACTTTTAAAAACCTGTCCTTTCAGCTTTAAGCTATGTCTACACAAACAAATGGGGTAGTCAGGTTTTACAACACAATTTTACTTACATGTTTAATTCAGCTAAAGAAATGCTCTCATGGGATTGCATTCTTTCCAAACTCAAGTCATTTAGAAAGTACGATCTACACAGAAATTTTTACTTACATGTTTGTCTGCAGGGATTAGTTCTGTTGTAGCCACAGAATAATTAAGATTAATTCCCAGATATTTCTATGCACAGACTATTAACAAGATCATTTCTTTTTTTTTTTTTAATGTGAGATTTTTTTTTAGATGTAAACATTTTTGTTTCGTGTCTTGGCAGGTCTGTCTCTCCATAAAATATGGAATACTAAACAATACAGATTGGAAAGTAAGATAAATTAGAAGACTTAATTTCAGGGTCACATACAAAATGTTTTACTAATTAAAGAAAATACCACTAGCAGAAATGTATCAATGGGTGTTGGTGGATTTTGTAAAGGATCACTTATTAAAACATATAACAGCTTTACATAGTGGCTATTGATTTAATTAAAGAGTGTGTCCAGTTACTACTTGATGGATTGTTCAATGAAAAACTGGAATTTGATATTGCAAGATATCAGATTGTCATCTTCATTGCAGATTCCCTTCCTTCAAAACATGTTAATAACAAGATGGACAGTCCAACATTTTGCTTTTTACATAAGCCAGTAATCTTGGCTCTCTCTTTGGCTTCTGTCTTTCCTTTGATCCAGGCCTTTACAATCTTGTTATTTATACCTGAATGTTTCAGAGTTTTGGCCTTTTCTCTGTCTGTGCCATCAACATTTGTCCAAGCCCTGATTATTTTGTGCCCTAACTACTATAATCTCCTCTTCTCCAGCTACAGCATATGCATTCATTAAAATTTGTTTAGAGTACTTGTTAAAGTCATCCCTTCATTCTAGCTATTGTATGCTACCCCCTCTAGCTCCCTCTGTTGGATATTTTAGCACAGCTTTTTCTTGAATTTATCTGAAAATAAAACAATAGCTTTAACAACAGTAATTTAAAAAAAA